AGCATCTGTCTCAAGTATGAATACTTGTGAAAAATCTGGTAGCACTTAAGAGGTGCTGAAGTGATCGCCATTTTTAACTGCTCGAAAGTTGTTTGAGTATTTTCATCCCACTTAAAAGCATCTTTCTTCAAAATAATGGTGAGAGGACCGACTATGGTCGCATAGAACTTGATAAATCTTCTATAATATTCGATAAGCCCAAGAAATCCTCTTAATTGTTTCAAAGTCGTTGGAGTATGCCACTCTAACACTGCTTGAACTTTTGTTCTATCCATTGAGACACCAACACCAGAAACTATGTGACTCGGATACTCCACTTCTGATAAACCAAATGAACATTTAGAAAGTTTCACGTACAACACATTCTGACTTAATATCTGAAACACAGTTTCTACATGTTGTAAATGTGATTGCCATGAAGGGCTATAAACTAGTATGTCGTCAAAGAAAACTAGAACGCACTTCCTTAACAACGGTTGGAATAACTGATTCATAAGTCGTTGGAATGTAGCGGGTGCGCGTTGGTAAGTCCGAACGGAATCACTAACCACTCATAATGACCTTGGTGAGTTCTAAAAGCCGTTTTCTGCCTGTCCTCTTGTTTGAGAAGTATTTGGTGATAACCAGAACGAAGATCAAGCTTAGAAAAAAAATTTGCTCCATGTAACTCATCCACAGTAGGCATGGGAAAAACTGTCCTTGATAGTTATAGCATTCAAAGCCCTATAATCCGTACAACATCTCCAAGTTCCATTTTTCTTCTTCACTAAAATAATTGGGGATGAAAAAGGGCTGAGACTTGGTTGGATTATACCGTCTTCAAGCATATCCTGCACCATCTTTTCAATTTGTTGTTTCTGACTATGTGGATATCTATAGGGTCTCACCTTCACAGGTTGTGCTCCTTCTTTCAATAATATCTCATGACTCAATCCTCACGTGGGAGGTAGTCCTTTAGGTATTAGAAATATCTCTCTTGTATGTATGCAACAATGTACTCATTTTCGGATCAAGATCAACGGGTCTGCCATTCCAATTATCTTCTAGAACAACAGGATCAATCTTTTGGATAGTAAACAACTCACTAATTGCATTCATTTGGTTTAATCTCTTGAAAAGATTCAGTTGCGCGACAACCGGCTTGTTACCGACTTCACCTTGTAATGTGACAAACTTTCCCTCTAGGTAAAATTTTAACATGGATGTAGCATAGTCAGCTACATGAGGTCCCAATGAAGCTAACCATGGGGCGCCTAAGATGACATCCGCCCCTGCTACAGGCAAGAGATAAGCAGGCACAGTAACCTCAATGCCCTGTATCTTCAGAGACAATTTCTTGACCACACCTTCAGTCTTCATGTTTTGTCCATTTCCAACCAGAACCTTACACCCCGTTAGTTGGTTCCACATCTAAATTTAGGCACTTAACAATACGTGGTTGAATGAAGCTATCTGAGCTTCCTCCATCAAGCAGAATTGAAACACAAATAGGACCAATATAGCCCCTTAAATCGGATCACACCCCATTCCTGTAGCTCCATGGAAAGCATTAAAAGATAAGTGGTGCTCTGTCATCTCTTCAGACTCGACTGTACTATTATTTATGTCTGCTGAGCTAGGTGAATTGAGATATTCAGGATCGTCATTCAGCTCCAATAACATCAAATGCTTGTTTGGGCACTTATGTGAAAAAGAGAATTTGTCATCGCAAAAGTAACACAAGCCTTTCTCCCTTCTCAATTGCATCTCTGCTAGAGAAATCCTTTTGATTGCATGGTTCTTTTGGAATTGGCTCATAGGTCTAGTAGGTGGTGTGGGAAGTAAGGGTGGGTTAGGGGCTTTTTCGATAGTTTGTGTTTGGTCATTTCTGGTTGGATTGAAGTGAGTTCTATTAGGGTGATAAACCGATTTCTGTGGAGCATGACACAGATTTTTGAGCAGTCAATTTTCCTCAAATAACTTGGCAATATACACAGCCTTCACAATTGAAATAGGACAATGCAACATAACATCTCTACGAATTTCTTCTTTCAATCCACTTACAAAGCAATCAATTAATGCATCATTACTTAATCCATAAATTGAAGGACCCAAAATCCAGTTCAAGAGCTCGTGTAAAATCATGCCATGATTGAAATGGTTGAGATCTAGTAACCATTTGGAACCACAAAACAACTTCTTGTTCTAGGTGGACAGAAGCGATAATCAATCTCTCCGGATCTGGAGTATGATAATAACCAAAAAATTGTTCAACCTTAAAATCCAATCGAGGACATTCTTACCATTAAACCTTGGAAATTCCAGCTTAATGTTGCGAACATGAAATGGAGGTGTTGGAGCCGCAGGTCCCGACGATGATGAGTAGATATGGTTGATGTCTGAGACGCTGAGTTCGTGCTTCCATGGGTGACATTGAGAGCTTGCATCTGTTTCAACATCATTTCCATAGATTTCAACAACTCCACAAAGTGTGACTCTGATGATAACTGCATCGTCTCCATTCTCGCAAAACGAGCTGCATTTGACTGTTCGTTCTTCTCCAAAACTACGCCTTGGCGTTTAACCTCAGCTGCAAGCTCCTTCATTGTGGTGTTGTCGGCCATGAATGTGATGAAAGCACCAATGTAATGACAGTTCAATTGATTTCTCAGTATCCAATAGCAGGCAAAAGTGAGGTAAATAATAAGTGAATGAAATAATGTTCAAGTGCAGAGCCCTTAACAGTAATGAAAATAAAGGAATAGAGGAAAAAGATAAAGAGAGTACAATCTCTCTTTTGTGTGGTGAATGTGTGGTGAATGAGCTACCCACTACTAATATTCTCTCACTCACTAACAAACAGGAGAGAGAGTGATCTCATACAAATTCACACCACACAATTTGAGCTACCCACTACTAATATCCTTTAATGTTTTCCTTTGATTCCATTACTGCGCCTCACTTCCTTCTTCTTTGCCATGTCAACATTCCCTTCCCCGTTAACATTATTTTTCCTCAATTGGATCCTTCTCACCCATAACAGATTTCTGTCAAACAAACATTGCAATCTGGGGAATTCTGAAGTCAAACATTGCAACCTGAGGAATTTTTAGAATTTATTAGTTTGTCTTTGCTATTGGGAATATAAGTATTATGAGTTATGAATGAATTAATATACATAGCTTAAATTTAGAGTAATAAATCAAATTAAATCCAACCAGACACTTTGCTGGTTTCAGCAATTTCATGCTATTTCAAGGCGGCGAAGTACGGATACTCACGAGCCTTGTAAAGGTTTGGAACTATAGTTTTAAGCTCAACAGGTTCCATAGGGGTTAAGTAAAGTGTAATCCATTCTTGTTTATAAAAAATAAAATTCAGGCTCATACAGCAGAATAAGCTCTCTCATAAAACTAGTAAGAAAAAAAGATAGTACAAATAGTTCTACATTGTATGTTCGCCGCCAAAAAGCAAGCGCGGGAAATTTTAAATTTAGTTCCTACCTATTTTAAAAATTAACAGACTCCGTCTAACCTATTTGTTTTCTCATCATGTATCTAGAGTTCATCGTGAGATTCATCATCATCTTCATTCTCCCCTGATGCACCACCACCTGGGGCACCACCAGATCTCTGATAGACAGCGGTAATGATAGGATTACAAACAGCTTCCACTTCTTTAAGCTTCTCTTCATATTCCTCTTTCTCTACACTTTGGTTGTCATCCAGCCATTCCAATGCCTCCTTCACTGCTGTCTCAATTTTCTCCTTTTCATCTGACTCCAACTTGTCAGCCAACTTGTCTTTGTCATTCACTTGGTTTTTCATGTTGTATACATATGTTTCAAGAGAGTTCCGAGCATCAATTCTTTCCTTTACTTTTTTGTCTTCCTCGGCAAACTCCTCGGCTTCACGAACCATCCGTTCAATTTCCTCCTGGCTCAGGCGTCCCTTTTCATTTGTAATGGTAATCTTTTCTGATTTGCCAGTGCCCTTGTCTTCTGCTTTAACATTTAGGATACCGTTTGCATCAACTTCAAAGGTCACTTCAATTTGAGGGGTACCTCTGTTCAATTACCACATCAAATAACCAATCAGTTACAATGCAATTGCAAACATCATATTGAGATAAATTCAGATAGTGCATACTGAAACTGAAAGCAGGAACAAACCTTGGAGCTGGAGGAATTCCAGACAGTTCGAATTTACCAAGGAGACGGCAATCCTTTGTGAGACTCCTCTCACCTTCAAACACCTATAATATAGGTAAGAAGAAAGCATTCCAATTGAGTTCAAGTTCGTTCAGTCAAATCCAAGTCTTAGAAATATGCAGAGGAATAACTATTCAGTACCTGAATGGAGACTGTTGTCTGCTGATCCTGGTAGGTGGTAAAAACCTGGGATTTTTTGGTAGGGATAACAGTGTTTCTAGGAATCAACTTTGTCATCACTCCTCCAACAGTTTCAATTCCAAGGGTAAGTGGTGCAACATCCAACAGAAGGATATCTGGACACAGAAAATAGAACACCAATAGGCATTATTATAAAAAATACCTATCCAATGCAATTATTAGAAGGTTAAAGTATATAAACTATTATGGTACCTTTGGTTTCGTCTCCACCCTCTCCACTCAAAATACTTCCTTGCACTGCAGCACCAAAGGCAACTGCTTCATCGGGGTTAACACCCTTGTTTGGCTCCTTTCCATCAAAGTAATCCTTCAACAGCTGTTGAACCTTTGGGATCCTTGTGCTTCCACCAACAAGAACGATCTCATCAATCTGGTTCTTCTGTAATCCAGCATCATCCATTGCCTTCTTCACAGGCCCCATGGTCTTCCTGAACAAATCATTGTTCAACTCTTCAAAACGAGCACGGGTAAGTGGCTCAGAAAAATCAACACCGTCAAAAAGTGATTCAATTTCCACACGGATTTGGTGCTGGCTACTAAGAGCTCTCTTGGCACGCTCACTCTCCCTCCTTAGCTTGCCAAGAGCTCTGTTGTCCTTGCTAATATCCTTTCCATGCTTTTTCTTGATCAATTTAATGAAGTACTCCATTATTCTCTGATCAAAGTCCTCACCTAGTAAAAAAAATTGTAAGAAAGTTAGCAAGCCTAAAGAGTATAAAAGGTATGTATTGTCTTAATCTAATCTTATTATTAGAATTTATACATACACAACTTGCAGTGGTTCTAAGTACGCACCTCCGAGATGGGTATCTCCATTAGTGGCAAGAACCTCAAAAACACCATTGTCAATTGTCAAGATACTGACATCAAAAGTTCCACCTCCAAGATCAAAGACAAGAATGTTTTTCTCTCCACCTTTCTTGTCCAATCCATAAGCAATGGCAGCAGCGGTGGGTTCGTTGATAATTCTAGCAACATTGAGACCAGCAATGACACCAGCATCCTTGGTGGCCTGCCTCTGAGCATCATTGAAATAAGCTGTAGATTTCAAAAGAGAACAAGAAATATTAGAATAAAAACAAGCTGCAGAGAGATTATTGTAGG